AGGAGCTACACCCCTCCAAAAATGGCGGAAAATTTTGGTTTATTTTTTTTTTCTCAAAAACCATAAACGCTAGGAAAATGAAATTTGGGGAATATGTTTAACTCATAATAGGGCACGTTTTGACCCTATTTGTACTTTCAACCTACCCTTCTAAACTACTAAACGTAACCACCCCCGTTCAATTTATGCCTAGATTTTTTTATGCAGATGGTAAATACATTTAAAAAAAATTTACATAGGTAGATGAAAGTATCCTAAAACTTTTTTGTCTCTCTAAAATTTTTCCAAAAACGACTAATTTTTGAGAAAAAAAATAATAAAGCAAACACTGCCCGTTAAACAACGAGGTTGTTGATCAAAAGTTGGAATGAATTTTGAATGAAAAAATCTTAGTAGGCTTTGTAATCTTTGTCAGAAATATTTTTGACGTTTAAATGTCAGTGGTTTTCTTACTATTATCATTGTTTTTCAAATAACGTTCTATCGCATTTACGCTCGTTCACTCGATGTTTCACAATTTTAAATAAAACAATAATAATAGTAAGAAAATCACTGATATTTAAACGTCAAAAATATTTCTGACAAAGATTGCAAAGCCTACTAAGATTTTTTCAGTAAAAATTCATTCCAACTTTCGATTAACAACCCTACAGCTTAACAGTTAGTGTTTGCTTAATTAATTTTTTTCTCAGAAACTATTAACTTTTCGAAGAACATCAGAGAGGCAAAAAAGTTTTAGAATATTTTCATCTATCTAAATAAAATATTTCCAATGTATTTATCACCGTCATAAGAAAAATCTAGACAAAAATTGAACGGGGGTGGTTATGTTTAGTAACTTAGAAGAGTAGGTTGAAAGTACAAATAGGGTGTATACAGGGTATACACCCTGTATATATATACAGTGTGTCCCAGGATAGATGTTATAAGAGGTATAATGACTTAAAGAATTTTGAATTTTATTTTAAGGCTTAGGAATTAAACCCTGCTTGGTGTGGAGAGAATTTTAAGTATATTTTCATATTTAGAAAATCAACTCGGTCTTGATAGTGAAGCGCAAACTATTTTTAGTTCAGTTAAAGTATCCAAATTTCAGAAAGATCTACCTACATTGATTAAACCACTATATTTTAGATAAAAATTTCTTTTTGCTGATAGAAAGACGGGCAATTTACTTCCAACACCATAGATGCTCTGCACATTCTACAGTACGTCTAGCTGAATGATTAAATTTAATATTTCGAGAAAAGATTATATCTAGAAATGGTCCAATTGCGTGGCCTCGAAGGTCTCCCGACCTTACAATATTAGATTTAAACAACTAGTTTTCGCTCAACCAATACCGAACAATCGAAAAATATTAAAAGAACGGATAACAAATTCTATACGACAAATACGCATCGAAAAAATTCAGAACAGCTTTAGAGAATTTAGACATCGTATAGAAAAGTGTGCAACAAAAGGTGGATGTTATGTTGAATAAACGACAGTTAAGTTTACGTTCGATTTTCTATAAATAAAATAAAATTATACAATATTTATGTTATTTAAACTAAAATGTGATGGTTCAACCAAAGTAGATAGATCTTTCAGAAATTTTGCATAGGAACATAATTTCACATTTTGAACAACCTTTTTTAATAAAATTTTTCAGTATCATGAACAAAAAGGTTACTTTACCTGTACTAAAAATAGTTTTCTCTTCACTATCAAGGCCGAGTTGATTTTCAGAATATGAAAATATACTTAAAATTCTCTCCGCACCAAGCAGGGCTTAATTCCTTAGCCTTAAGATAAAATTCAAAAATTTTTAAGTCATTATATCTCTTGTAACATCTATGCTGGGACACACTGTATACAGGGTGTTTCGGTGACTCGGGGAACAAATTTAACCACATATACTAGAGTGAAAATGATAACGATTCATGTAAAAAAAATTAGTAAAAGTCTTCAAATTTCAAAGATACAGGCCATCAAAGTTTAGAAATTTTAACACATTTTTCCAAATATCTTAAACACTATTTACAGTAAAGCGCTGAAATCTGGTACAGTATAAATTAATGTGATGTAAAATCGTTAGGCAATTTATGAGTTGGATCGGTCCGCGGGAACAATACTATACAGGCTGTTCCTAAAGTTTGTTTGCTCAGAACTTTTTTATTCCATCATAACCCTACATTTATTTTTGTTTTTATGTTAAATGCAAAAATGTTGGGTTCCGATTTCAATAATAGCACTAAAAAAAAAAGAAATCTAAGTTTTTCAACATTTCCTTTAGTATTTTTTATTACTTGTCTTATAATTTTATGTATCTTTTTTATTATTCCTGTAAGTGTTGTCGTTTTTTTGTTTATTTTTTGTCGATTGTTAATTTATTGTTTTTGCATTCTTTTATTAAACCAACTAAAACAAATTAAAAACGTGATTTAGCTAAATCTACACTTGGACATGTTGCATACTTATTAGTTATGACAGTTCAGTTCGATTTTCATTTGTCATTGCCAATTCAGATTATTTATTTATTTTTTTTTTTTTAGTGTTATTGAATTCGGAACCTAACATTTTTGCATTTAATACGTAAACGGTGGTTTTTATCAATATTCTCTAAGAGTGATAAAAGTTTTTAAACTAAATTTACTATTACAAACTGCAAAAATAAATGTAGGGTTTTGATAGAATAAAAAAGTTCTGATCAAACAAACTTTAGGAACAGCCTGTATAGCATTGTTCCCGCGTACCGATCCAACTCAAAAATTGCGTAGTGATTTTACGTGATATTAGTTTATCCTATACCAAATTTCAACGCTTTACCTTACCATAAATAGTGTTTAAGATATTTAGAATAATGTGTTAAAATTTCATAACTTTGATGGCCTGTATCTTTACAATTTGAGAACTTTTACTAATTTTTTTTTACATGAATCGTTATCATTTTCACTCTAGTATATGTGGTTACATTTGTTCCCCGAGTCACCGAAACACCCTGTATACATTGTGAATATGGTGGGCAAATTTGGGTGTTATTATAAATTATTTCAGAAACTATAAGAGATACGAAAAAAGTAGGCGCCATGTCCCGGTCTTTTTTTTCGAGACTAACCCAATCCCGGAAACACCAAACCTTTATCTTCTTTTGTTTTTAAGTTATAGCCAAAAAGTCAAATTTTCGTGATTTGCAAAAATGCTCATATTTCGTTTATTTTTGAAATTAGAAAAATGAGGTTGATACGTTCTTAAGACACTTTTTTAAGTAGAATATACTGCCGTTGAAAAATTTTAAACATATTTGGTTGTATAAATTGCATATATTGTATTGTAAAATAAGCGTTAATTTTCAATTTCAAAATAGTAAGCGCTAATGTTCGAAATTTTGATTATAGTGGGCGGGTTCGGACAGTAAGTACTACCTAATTGCTATATTGCTTTGCACGAATATAACAGAACAAAGTTGGTTTTGTACCAACGAATAAAAACTTTGAATAATTCATTTAAATTTCTCCTGACTTTGTTCACCAATAAAAAATGATTAGTAGATAAAGTTTGTTTATTAAAAATACAAGAAACGTATTAATTAATGAATAAATATGAACAACAACATCAGGAACTAAACAGACACAGACTGTGTCATCTTCTTCTATTAAACTTAGTTGTTGTAGGGTTAGAAACTGTTCTAACCTTAACTACAAACATAAGATTTAGAAGTTTTTTCATATTAGCAAAGTTTTCTTTTGAAATTGGGTGAGATAGAGGAAGATTAGGGATCATAAACTGGGCAGCGAACGTTTCAATGGGTATATGAAGACATGTATCATCTTCAAAGCGGACTCCAATGTATTCTATATTTCATTTTATCGTTTTATTTAAAGGTAATGCGGAACTTCTTAATCGGAAAACTCGTTTCGAAAGATGCATGAATGAAATGACAAGAAAACTCACGTTACTATAGTAACTAAGTGGCATTTAACGTTTTCCTCGCCTACTATAATTAAAATTTTAATCTCTAATATTTTAGAAATGAAAAATATTTATATGTATTTTTATTGGAAAACTAAAAATATACTCTTTCTAGTTTGTATTTAAAAAAATACAACTTTACGTTATATCTCAAAAAAATATTAGCAATGTTTAAAATTGTTCAACGGCAGTATATTATACTCACAAAAGTGTCTTAAGAATGTATTAACCGCTTTTCTTTAATTTGAAAAATACACGAAATATGAGCATTTTTTTGAAATCAACATGATTTACATATCGTAACTCTTTTTTTCAAAGAGCACAGTTAAGCCCGAAAGCGCTAAAGTTAGTACTAATTCATAAAAAATAGTTAATCTGAAAAATTGAAAACGATTGATAGTTTCAAAACTAACTTTCAGTGTTTACTGTCGAATATCCGTAGACACCACTCTGTATATTAGCCATTTTATGGAAAATGCGTAAATATGAGCAATTTATTTTTTTGGGAGCGGAAAGTATAGTTTAACATTGCAAATAAAATCTATTTATGAACAATTTAAATATAACATTCAACGAGACAAGTCATCGGGATTTGGGCTTCAAAATAGTACTGTCGTGTCAAAATTGCCTGAGAGTTAAGATTCCTAGTGGCAAATTTATTCGAAACGTCCATAAAATTAATCGTGAATTACCACGATTGAAATATCAATCTCTTTATGACAAAATTGTGGATGCACTAGTATGAAGAAAGTATCGCAAGAATAAAAAAAGAAAGTGGAGAAAGTGGACAACATACAGGAATAACTGTTTCCGGTGATGGTTCGTGGAGAAAACGTGGGTTTTCGTCGCTTTTTGGAGTAACGTCATTAATTGGATGGTTCACCGGCAAAATAGTCGACGTTGAAGTAAAATCAAATTACTGTAATAGGCCTAATACACCTGCAAACAATCTGCGCAACAATCGCAGTTTTGCGAAAATTGTGTAGTGTATTTTGTTCAAAATTGTTACTTAAATTGCTACTGTTCCTCTCTCTGTTTCAACCACTTTAACCTTCACAATCACTTCTCTATCCCTTCTCTCTGTGCCCGCTGTTTTTCTTATTCAAGTCATTTCCACATCTTCACAGTCTCCTTCTACTTCCTCCAGTATAGAATACATTCTCTTATATTGCGATTGAATGCTTTTTTCCATCTTTGTATCATCTGGCTCGATAAACACCTCCTTTGCCTTTATTTTTCCTGCAATTTCGATTTCCTTCTATAATACTAGTATTTTCAAAGTATTGCTCTTCCCATTTCCATTTTGCCACCTCCGTCCATTCTTCAAATGTGACTGCATCTTTTATCTTTTTTCTCTCATCTCTTCAGTCTCCATTTGCATAGCCTGACTGTTAACCTTTTTGTCTTCTGGTCTTATTCATCCATTCTCTTATCTCTTGTTGGCAGAAGATCTCCTTCACTCTTTTCATCTTTCTCGCCACTTCTTTAATTTCCATATAGTTTTTCTATAAAAAATGACGATGAATTTGAGAACAGAGAGGGGCAGCTTTATGGTCCTGGTATAGCAGATTAATGGTAAAAAATTATATGCCTATAACCTTTCATTTTTTCATAACCAACATTTTAAATGCGTTTTTCTCGAAACACGAATTTTAAAACGGCACGCAGCATAACTCGAATAATTTTCATTCAATCTATTTAAACTTTTTACCACTTATTTAAAATTATATTCTACAGGAAGTATCTACTTATCTCCTACGTGATAAGTCTGATTGACTCCAGCCACACTATTTTGTATTATTTCTGTATTATAAATTTTTGTGCTCTTCAAAGCATACTTAATAACAAAATCACAAAAAGCGCTTTATTTTAGATTTCTACAGTGGTGTTACTTACCCCTTAAATAACATTTCATAACCAATTTAAAATTATTTTTTTTTAAATTAATAAATTATTTTTTTCAAGATTAACACCACCGAAACAGTTCGCGCAACCACAACATTAACGGTAGCCAAAAAAGGACCAATAACTGCAACTTCAATCATAGAATCGATTCCTAAAGTCGATCAAGTTGATAATAATAAGCCTCAACATCCCGTAAATAACGTTTTGGCTGATTTATGGAAATCGTCACCTCAAAAACTTCAAACGATCAATAAAAACATAAAATTATCACAACATCGCCAACATAGTTTTCAAATGAAAACTATTGTAATGCCGGATACTTGTGGTGTTTGCGAAAAAAGAATTCGATTTGCAAAAAATGTTGTTAAATGTAAAGTTTGTCGGAGTGTTTGTCACCCAGAGTGTAAAGATAAATTACCTCTTCCATGTATACCGTGTGCTAACACCCCAACTCATCGTTTAGCGCAAGGTATTATTAGTGATTACACCCCGACGACCGCTCCGATGGTTCCGGCGATAATCGTGCATTGTTTGAATGAGATTGAGGCGAAAGGGATGAAGGAATTGGGTATTTATAGGATTCCCGGTGCTGAGAAAGACGTGAAAGGATTAAAAGATCGATTTTTTAAAGGAAAAGCAGCTCCGATTCTTACTAATATTGATATCCATGTAATTTGTGGTGTTGTTAAAGATTTTTTGAGGTTTCTAAGAGAACCGTTAGTGTCGAAATCGTTGCGAGGGGAGTTTATAAAAGCGGTTGAATGTTCCGATAAAAAAGATGTTGCCGCGAATTTGTGTCAAATCATTTCCGAGTTGCCACAACCGAATCGGGATACTTTAGCGTACATTATTTTACATTTAAAGAAAGTTGCTGAATCTAAAGAATGTAAAATGCCGTTAACGAATTTAGCGAAAGTTTTTGGACCGACGATAGTTGGGTTTTCTTCGAATGATTTGGAGGATATGGGGGATTGCTTGAAAGAAACGGGGCAACAATATAATGTTATGATTAATTTGTTGGAGCTTCCTGTTGAGTATTGGCAAGATTTTGTTATTCAACAACAGTTAACGATGAAGTTACAACAAACTCCGAGTACAGATTCTTTATTAAGGCCGACTCCCAATCGATTATTTTCTACTCGTTTAGAAAGAGATTTTATTAAGAAAAGGAAAAATATATTGACTACACCATCGAGTCTTCTTACATAAATATTTTTTTGATGGTAAAATGTTTTTCCTACATATTTTTATGGTAAGTACTTATGGGATGGATAAGATTAATTTATCATTATCAAGAAGAATTAAATTTATACTTGAATTTCTACAAAATTTACTTAAATAAGTTTTTTTTGTATTTATCTTGTAATAAGTGTATCTTAACCAATATTTTTTGTTGTAATATTAGGATTATTTTTTTTATTATATATTCATATATTATACACATAAATAATTAAAGTATTAATAAAGATTTAAGTTTCAAAATGAAATCGTTTTATTTTAACCTTCGATTTTATAACAAGAGCGGGCGCGTGTCATAAATTTTATGAAGAGTTCGAATTATTTTTAATAAAACACACATTTACTAGCAATAATATATGAATGCAATAGCCATAGTTACGAAACTACTGTGCACTTGCATTACACCACATAAAATGCAACATAGCATAATAGTACAAGCATTGGGTAGTTTTGCTTGGAAAAAGGTGACGTCCTTGTGAGGACTCTGAGTTTTCGGCCGTCATAAAAGACGCACCGCTAAACCCGAATGATTAGGTCTTGTGTTAGTTCTAGTGATAGTGCTAGTAGCAACCCAACCCAACCTAGTTGAACACTGGAAAGTTTAGCTAATTTAAAAACGGCAAAACCTAACCCAAGAATTAAACACTGGTTGTAGAAAACACTTGAACCAGCTAAGAGAAGACTGCACTTGATGGTAGTAGACAAAATATTGCTTATATAAGACTACTTATTGCTTGCAAAAGACTAGATACTGTTAGTAGAAGAAATAGTGCTTGTAAGACTACGTAGCACATAGTAAAGACTACTAATCGCTTGCAGAAGACCATTTACTGCTTATGATAGACTAGATATTGCATGTAAACAACTAGATACTGCTTACCGATGACTAATAGTGCTTAAAGAAGAGTACATGCTGATAATAGAAGACTAGACTCAACGAAAAAAGATTAAATACTGCTGGCAGAAGTCTGAAAACTTCTAGCTGATTACTAGATATTCTTAATGTAATGCACGTAAAAGACTAAATACTGCCAATGGACGACAAAATATTACTAATATAAGAGTAGAAATTGCTTGTAGAAGGGTATTTACTGCTTGCAAAAGATTATTTACTACATGCAGAAGATTATTTATTGNACATGGCACTCGTATGACGTCATAGTGCAATGAAGTGTAAGTCAGTGCAATGTCATGTCAACTTAGTGCAGGTCAGAAAAGTGTATAAACCGTGGTCGCAACGAACAGATTTTTATAAAAAAAGTGTATAATATTTGAAATGGACGAACAGGAGATTGTCAGCGAAATACTCGTAGAAAATGAAATCATCGCAGAATGTTTTTTTAGTAGCGATTCATCAATTATTATTATATTATTATTATTTTACATTTTTTTCAATTATTAGCAAAATATATTTTCTACACCAAACTACTAACCCTTATAAGTTCTTTAAAAAGTACTACTTAACGTATAAAGAAATCACATACTAAATTGCACCAAAATCGATAAGCAGTACTTGCAAAAAAAAAATTTGGGTTGGTGAGTACACTGCACTTATTGAACTTAATCCAAAGCAGTTGCAACAAAATCTGCACTAACTTGCACCCGCTGCACTAACTTGCACCTGCTGCACGAAATTGCACTGCACATGGCCCAACGAACAGTATGAGTGCAATTGCAGTAAACTACACTATCCCCAACGAACACACAACATCTGCACTAAACTGCTTAGTGCAAGTAGTGCAGGCCCAACGAACAAAGCTAGTAACTCGCAATATATGAATGCAGTAACCATAGTTACGAAACTACTGTGCATTTGCATTGCCCCACATAACATGCAACATAGCATAATAGTACAGGCATTGGGTAGTTTTGCAAAGGAAAAGTTTTGCTTGGAAAAAAGGTGACGTCCTTGTGAGGACTCTGAGTTTTCAGCAGTCATAAAAGACGCACGGCTAAACCCGAATGATTCTAGTTCTAGGTCTTGTGTTAGTTCTAGTGATAGTGCTAGTGCAAAACTAAAATTAACATTAGACCGAGAACTAGAAACATTCGGATTTAGCCACATGTCTCTCAAGACGGCTAAACCCGAATGATTCTAGTTCTAAGTCTTGTGTTAGTTCCAGTGATGGTGGTAGCGCAAAACTAGAACTAACACTAGACCTAGGACTAGAAACATTCGGGTTTAACCGTGCGTCTTCAGACAGAAACTTTCTACTCCTAGGTCTACTGTTAGTTCTAGTTTTAATTCAATAAAAATATGCAACACAGTGATATCTCATGCTAACTAGCGCTACTTAGCACTGTCACTAGAACTAACATTTGCCTTGCTAACACTGAATGACAATTCAAACTAGGATTAATACTAGACCTAGGAACATTCGGGTTTAAGCGCGTAGCTTTCAAGACGGCTAAACCCAAATGATTCTAGGTCTTGTGTTAGTTCTAGTGATAGTGCTAGTGTACAACCCAGTTGAACACTGGAAACTTTAGCTAACTTAAAAACGGCAAAACCTAACCCGAGAATTAGATACTGGTTGTAGAAAAGACCAAAAACTACTAAGACAAGAATGCATTTGATGGTAGAAGACAAAATATTGCTTATATAAGACTATTTACTGCTTGCAAAAGAGTTCTACTAATAAAAGACTAAATAGTGCTTGTAAGACTACGTATCACATAGTAAAGAGTACTAATCCCTTGCACAAAACCACTTACTGCTTATGATAGACTAGATATTGCATGTAAACAACTAGATACTGCTTTCCGATGACTAATAGTGCTTGAAAAAGAGTACATTCTGATAATAGAAGACTAGCCTCAATGAAAAAGTATTAAATACTGCTGGCAGAAGTCTGAAAACTTCTAACAGATTACTAGATATTCTTAATATAATACTGAATGCTCCTCATAAGAAGTCAATGCACGTAAAAGACTAAATACTGCCAATGGAAGACAAAATAGTACTAATATAAGAGAAGAAATTGCTTGTATAGGGGTATTTACTGCTTGCAGAAGATTATTTCTTGCTTCCAGGGGATTATATACAGCTGGCAGAAGTGTGGGATTGCTGGCAGAACACTAGAAACCTGCTAGTTCTAGGTCTAGTGTTAGTTCTAGTTTTAATTCAATAAAAATATGCAACACAGTGATATCTAATGCTAACTAGCGCTACCTAGTACTACCACTAGAACTGACTAGTCACTAGAACTACCTAGCACTAGTTGTATTTTTCGTTCACGAAAAATATACCACAATCTAACGCTGAGTAACAATTAAAACTATAATTAATACTAGACCTAGGAATAATCGAGTTTAGGCGCGCGTCTTTCAAGACGACTAAACCCAAATAATTCTAGTTCTTGGTCTTGTGTTAGTTCTAGTTACCATGCTCGCTACTTACCACGGTCACTAGAACTAACATTAGATCTAGAAGTAGAAACATTCAGGTTTAGCCGTCTTAACACATTGGCTGCTGCGTGATGACGTCATTAATGGCATTCATAATAATAATAATAATTCTTTATTGATAATATGTCAGGCGAAGCTATTTTACAAGTCATACATCAGCAGAAAATATAGAATACAGTTTCTTGTTACGACGGAAAAACAGTACATAACAAATATATGCACTAGCTAAACAACGAACAGTGAATAAATCTAAATTGGTGGGTGAGAAGGAAAACGGCGAGATGGTAACATCAATTTAGTAAAATCACTGGTTAGAAATTTATCCACACTGTACAAGGCCTTATCAAGTAATAGTATATTAAATTAATAAATTTTCACAATGTAGGGAAATAGGTATGTAGCAGTTGGTAACACTTGAAAATAGAAATTTGAATTGACAATTAGAAACTGTCAAAACACAAAATGTATTCGCCTGACAAAAATGTTCCATGTACACCTCCCAAAATAACAGAAATGGCTCAGAGTTCAATGTCCTCATCATTGTGGACCTTGTATTCGATGTTAAGAACGTGTTTAAACATTGACAACTAGAAAAATTAATGACCCAATGTTACCAACTTGAACTGGCTCCATAAAATGTTACTAAAATCTCATTACAGCATCGGATGCTGTAAGGAGTCTCATTACAGCACCCGTTTGAGTACTGTTAGAGCTTTCATTACCGTCGCGAATTACAAAATAGTATATTAAAAAACAAGTTTCGTAAGACACGCTTNAAAACCTTCTAGTTCTAGGTCTAGTGTTAGTTCTAGTTTTAATTCAATAAAAATATGCAACACAGTGATATCTAATGCTAACTAGCGCTATCTAGCACTGTCACTAGAACTATCATTTGACGTAGAACTAGAAACATTCAGGTTTAGCCGTCTTAAGATGCGCATAGCTAAACCCGAATGGTTCTAGTTCTAGATCTAGTGTTAGTTCTATTTTACGTTCAAGAAAAATATACCACAGTCTAACGCTGAATAACAATTAAAACTAGAATTAATACTAAACCTAGAATCATTCGAGTTTAGGCGCGCGTCTTTCAAGGCGCCTCAACCCAAATGATTCTAGTTCTAGGTTTTGTGTTAGTTCTAGTGATAGTGGTAGTAGCAACGCAACCCAACCTAGTTGAACACTGGAAGGTTTAGCTAACTTAAAAACGGCAAAACCTAACCCAAGAATTAGATACTGGTTGTAGAAAACACTTAAAACTGCTAAGAAAAGACTGCACTTGATGGTAGTAGACAAAATATTGCTTATATAAGACTACTTACTGCTTGCAAGAGACTAGATACTGTTAGCAGAAGACTAAAGAATGCTAATAGAAGTCTGCATCTGTTTGCAGTGAATAAAATATTGCTAACTAGCTCTATCTAGCATTGTCACTAGAACTATCATTTGACGTAGAACTAGAAACATTCAGGTTTAGCCGTCTTAAGAGGCGCATAGCTAAACCCGAATGGTTCTGGTTCTAGATCTAGTGTTAGTTTTATTTTACGTTCAAGAAAAATATACCACAATCTAACGCTAAATAACAATTAATACTAGACCTAGAAACATTCGGGTTTAGGCGCGCGTCTGTCAAAGCGCCTAAACCCAAATGATTCTAGTTCTAGGTCTTGTGTTAGTTCTTCTTGTGTTCTAGTGCTAGTGTACAATCCAGTTAAACACTGGAAACTTTAGCTTACTTAAAATCGGCAAAACCTAACCCGAGAATTAAATACTGGTTGTAGAAAAGACCTGAAACTACTAAGACAAGACTGTATTTGATGGTAGTAGACAAAATATTGCTAATGATACTGTTAGCAGAAGACTAAAGGATGCTAATAGAAGTCTGCATCTGTTTGCAGTAGATAAAATATTGCTAATTGAAGACTAGGCTCTGCTAATAAAAAACTAAACAGTGCTTGTAAGGCTACGTATCATATAGTAAAGAGTACTAATCGTTTGCAGAAGACCATTTACTGCTTATGATAGACTAGATATTGCATGTAAACAGCTAGATACTGCTTGCCGATGACTAATAGTGCTTAAAAAAGAGTACANACTAGAAAAATTAATGACCCAATGTCACCAACTTGAACTGGTTCCATAAAATGTTACTAAAATCTCATTACAGCATCGGATGCTGTAAAGAGTCTCATTACAGCACCCGTTTGAGTACTGTTATAGCTTCCATTACCGTAGCGAATTACAAAAAAGTATATACCAACGATATAGCAATGTCGCTCGAGTAACGTTGCCAGATCGTTGGTATATACAGTACGCGTCATAAGTAAACCCCCTGCCTAATTTGAAAACGGTTCAAAATATAATATTGACGCATCTAAGAGCAAAAGTGCAAGAGAGCAATATTGTTAACAATAAAATTTGCTACAACTTTTATTGTAAAAGTTTTTTGTAATACGCTGCGATTTCCAAGTATTAGCTTTAATAACTTGAAAGAGCAACAAATTCATCAAATTTTCATATTTTCGTATCTATCTCGATGTTGACGTATCTGTAAGGAGCGGCTCTTACTTTGTTGTGTGGGCGTGCTAAAGGCGTATGCGACAAGCAGAACCTTGTCACGCTGGCTTGGATTTAGGGAGCAAAGTTANAAAAACTAAACAGTGCTTGTAAGATTACTTTCCATATAGTAAAGAGTATTAATCGCTTGCAGAAGACCATTTACTGCTTATGATAGACTAGATATTGCATGTAAACAGCTAGATACTGCTTGCCGATGACTAATAGTGCTTAAAAAAGAGTACATGCTGATAATAGAAGACTAGACTCAATGAAAAAAGATTAAATACTGCTGGCAGAAGTCTGAAAACTTCTAGCAGATTACTAGATATTCTTAATGTAATACTTGATGCTCCTCATAAGAAGTCATTGCACGTAAAAGACTAAATACTGCCAATGGAAGACAAAATATTACTAATATAAGAGTAGAAATTGCTTGTAGAGGGATATTTACTGCTTGCAGAAGATTATTTCTTGCTTCCAGGGGATTATATACAGCTGACAGAAGTGTGGAACTGCTGGCAGAACACTAGAAACCTGCTAGTTCTGGGTCTAGTGTTACTTCCCGTTTTAATTCAATAAAAATATGCAACACAGTGATATAAATAGCGCTAACTAGCGCTATCTAGCACTGCCACTAGAACTAATATCTGACTTAGAACTAAAAATATTCAAGTTTATCCATCTTAACCCATTTAGTCCCACTGGTGTAAATACGCACCAGCGTTTTTAAAATTATTTTAGTTAGAGCCATATACACACTGTTTGTACGATGATACTATAAGGTTGTTAGGCTATACATATCAAAATATTTCATAATTGTTGCTATTTAAACCATATTTGCACCAATTAATTAAATTGAAAATTTCTGTTCAAAATATACAATAGAAATAAAACTATTTACAGTGCATAAAATTGTTTAAAATTTTGACATTTGCAAGTTTTTAATGCATATTTTCCTCATATATATCATATATATCTAAACGCGAAATAAAAATATGAATTCTGAAAGTACGTCTTGAAACATTTATGGTGCAAAAACACACTATTGTGATGATTGATGAAATATAAGGTTTACATCATCTTTCGTATTATCCGAAACCAGTTTAGACCCATTTATTCGGTGAATTCCCTAGATATAGTCGTTTATGGACATATTAGTGTGTCAATATATATGTTTGAAGAGTGCTTTGCGAAGTATTACGATAAATGATTATATTGTTCATCCCATTGGTGCGTTTTTGCACCAATTTTAGCATAAATATTTTTTATATTAAACTTCATACTAAAGTTGGGTTTGGTTGGGAAAAAGACTAGATACTGTAGCAGAAGACTAAAGGATGCTAATAGAAGTCTGCATCTGTTTGCAGTAGATAAAATATTACTAATAGAAGAGTAGAACTCGAAAAATATTGAACCTTTGAATATTAAAGATGAAGAACAAAATTTCGATTCCAACAAAATTGTCATTACGGACCTGTATTTTTCAAAAACGTACAAACGAGCCGAAACCTTCATGTATGACTCAAAACCTGTTTATAATACATTTATATCCATAAATACATCCCATAATATAAATACGGCCTTATAAATCAGCAATTAATGTGTAAATTTTTGTCTTTTATACCTTTTTTTGCTATAAAGATAATGTCAATATATTTGTTATTAAATTTTTTTTTCATCATGTTCAAAATACAAAATTACATGAATACTTTAGTGTTAAATTCTTTCAAATGCATAATATAAGGAGATATTATTAAAAACGAAAATTCTCAAATTTTATGACAGTACGCCCACAACATAACCTCACATGTCACTTTAATTGTAATCGTAGGTATTAAAAATTAAATAAAACACAAAGTAACTTGTAAAATTTATTTTAACTGTTATTTTCCCCTTTCATAATCCATTTAAGTTCTTTTAAGAGAAATCGTCAAGNGTTTTCCCCCTGAACGCTCTTAACTCTAAGAATAATCTTATTGGTCAACGCGTGGTTTAACCAATCAAACAATTACAACTATAACAATTAGACAAAAGAAAAGGAAGGGAAGGATGAGTCGAGCAGCGATCCCCTCTATCCGAGAATGAATAAAAATATCAATAATTAATTACCAAAATCTGAACTGATCTGCGGTTCGCTACATATCTAAGACCAAAAGTGTTAGTTCTAGTGATGATGCTACTGTAAAACTAGAACTAACACTAAGTAGACCTAAAACTAGAAAGTTTCGGGTTTAGCCGTTCGTTTTCAGACGTTCAGTATTAGTGTTTTAGACTATCACCATCACTAGAACTAACACAAGACCTAGAACTAGAATCATTCGGGTTTAGCCGTCTTGAGGGACGTGCGGCTAAATCCGAATGATTCTAGTTCTAGGTCTTCGTGCGGCTAAATCCGAATGATTCTAGTTCTAGGTCTTGTGTTAGTTCTAATGATACTGCTAGTGCAGACGCACGGCTAAACCTGAAATTTTCTAGATCTAGTGTTAGTTTTAGTTCAATTAGCACTGTTACTAAAACTAACATTAGAACTAGAAACATTCAGGGGTAGCCGTTTTAAGAGACGCACGGCTAAACGGTAGTTATTGTTTCTGGTTTATTTATAGCTACATTAATTTTTGCATTGTGCATCGTGCAAAGGAGAAAAACAGCTTTATTTTTGTGTGGTACATAAAAAATTAACATTTTGTTTGTTTGAAATCCAAATAATGTCGAACGAACGATTCGATTTTTATTTGATAAGAATTCGGATGGGATTTCTCGCTTGTTCCAGTCAGTGTTATTTTCTTCTGTAGTAGATAATCTGCTAGAGCAACGCTAGTATAGTTGTTGTCAACGTCATTTTTATTAGAATTTTCAATTGGTTCAACTAATTTCTTTACAACATCCATCAGTTTCTTAGATACCATATACGGACCATCTGAATATATCCATAACTCATGAAAAACCGAAAAGATGAAAAAAAAATTGTCATTGCGGACCTGTATTTTTCAAAAACGTGCAAACGAGCCGAAACCTTCATGTATGACTCAAAACCTGTTTATAATACATTTATATCCATAAACACATCCCATAATATAAATACAGCCTTATAAATCAGCAATTAATGTGTAAATTTTTTGTCTTTTATATTTTTTTTTGCCATAAAGACAATGTCAATAAGTTTGTTTTTACATTTTTTTTCCATTTTGTTCCAAATACATAGTTACATGAATACTTTAGCGTTAAATCCTTTTAAATACATAATATAAGGAGATACATTATAAAAAAATATTGTCAAAATCGAAAATTTTGTGGCAGCGCGCCTTGTCAAAGATTTATGTCAACATAACCTCACATGTCACTTTAATTGTAATCGTAGGTATTAAAAATTAAATAAAACACAAAGTAACTTGTAAAATTTATTTTAACTGTTATTTTCCCCTTTCATAATCCATTTAAGTTCTTTTAAGAGAAATCGTCAAGTTAAATCAACAACGGCCAAACACACCCAAATTAAGGTAACAGAATACAAAATAAAATCCTTAAAATGATACAATAAGTTATGTATACAAACAGTATATCTAGTATATACATTGTTATTGTGGTTATTTACAAATTAACAAAATTAAAAATAATGCTTTTATAAATTTTTATATAAAAAGAAAATGTTAAAATATAAACTTGATATAAACACGTATAACATTTTTTTTTTAATCACTCTATGAAAAAACTCGCGCAACGTACAATTCTTCTCAATGAGAAGTAATTTCTTTTTGTTATAAAATAGAAAAAATAGTCATTGGAAAAATTTCTAAGTAGCATTTTAGGTTATCCGTTGTCACTTGTACAAGGTCCTGAGCTCCACAACACGCAATTTCCCACCCCGCTATAACAAATAAGGAAGACGGCTACCAAAAAAATCAAACTGCAAATTGTGCAAGGTTTCTTTTCCAAGAAAAATCCAATCAGGTAAAGCACCATGAACATTACGTGTGTTTGCACCAAGGCCGGATTTAATGGTTTCGGTATCAATAGAACTGGTATCAACCATTGGAGGCAGTACATCGCAGCAAACCACACAATTTTTTATTATTCTCGGGCACATTTAACAAATAAAACCGAACTTTTTCTGTTAAGAACAATATAGAGTCCGATTTTGACAACAATTATAATTTTTTTTTGACACCTGTCAATTGGGGTTGACGTGAAACATTTTTTATAAAACGACGCGCGCATCAGCTGATTCCATAAATTTCAATTATAAATCTAAACTCAAATTTTAATTACAATTTAAATTTAACCCCGAAAAATTAAATTAACCATCTTATTTTTGTTAAAAAATTCTATAAAAATTATTAAAACCTGGTTATTTTTCAATTTAAACGTTGCCCAACTTGATTTGTGGTTATGGCATTAACGCGTGTGGCGCCCTCTTTCCCATTTCCGACAGCCTAAGCTGCTAAAGTGTTTTCTTGCACGTGGTGCTTTAAAAACTAAAAAATTAATAAATAAACATGGATAAATCCGTTGTTCGAGCTCGCGTCATTAAAGTTTTGGGTCGTACCGGTTCCCAGGGGCAATGTACGCAGGTAAAAGTTGAGTTCTTGGGGGAACAAAACCGACAGATTATCCGTAACGTGAAGGGCCCCGTTCGAGAAGGAGACATTTTAACGCTTTTGGAATCTGAACGTGAAGCCAGAAGATTAAGATAATTAGGTAAATAAAAAATGATTTAATTAGTTTAATTTTATTGTTATATTTTGTTTCAGGTTAAAGTTTTTGCTAAAAACAAGAATGAAAAAGTTTACTGTGGGGATTATTACACATTAATGCGTTTAAATAAATAAAACTACATTAATTTTACATGTAACAACTTTTATTATTAATAAATTATGTTCTCGCAGTATTTTTTTATTTTACTTAAAAAATTTATGTCAAAATGTGACAGTTATTTTAACCTCACTTTTTGCTTAACCTAACCTTAAAAGTTAAAAGCATTCCTGTTTTATTCTTAATAATTTCCATAATAATCATGTTTGAAGAATTAGAACAAAGTGAATTAGGTTCACAAGAATATTGGGACAAGTTATATAAAAAGGAAATTGAAAATTACAAGAATAATGGTGATGTGGGTGAAATTTGGTTTGGTGAAGACATTGTTGATAGAGTCTTAAGGTGGATATTAAAAAATAACATCCCAAAATCGCATAAAATCGTCGATGTTGGATGCGGAAATGGAATGATGTTGATTGAGCTTCATAATGAAGGTTTCACAAATCTTTATGGGGTTGATTATTCAGAGCATGCAATCACTTTAGCTGAAGCTGTTAAGGAAAAGTATGAATGTAACCACATAGAATACTCGGTTTGCGATTTATTGGGGGATAATACAAATTTGGAAGATTTTGATGTGGTTTTTGATAAAGGAACTTACGACGCGATTAGTTTAAGTGATAACGCCAAAATTAATAGGAACAAATACATCAAAAATGTGGCTAAATCACTGAAGGAAAATGGATTACTTATTTTGAATTCCTGCAATTGGACTGAATGTGAAGTTGTGGAGCAATTTAAAGGATTTTTTGAGGTGTTTAATGTTATACCAACACCACAATTTAAGTTTGGGGGAAAAGTGGGAAATGTAGTTTCTTCTGTTGTATTAAAAAAAATAAAATAAAATTTGATTAATTTAATTATTGAATAACTTTATTACAATCCTTAAGATTAAATACATTCCAAAAATTATTGTGAAAAAAGGAGAAACATACAAAAGTCAATTTGTAAATGGGGCTAAATCTAATTGAATCTAATTGTAACAATACAATTATTAATTATTACTATTTGTATATATAATAAAACGAAATTAACACAATTTATCAAACATCTATCATTTAAGATAATCTTATTGTTAATATATATATATTTTACTATTTTCTAATATAGATATCAATCACTTAATACGCTTCCCCTTCTTCATAATCATCATAATGACGACTATTTCCGTTTGAATTGTCAGGTTCAAATTTCTTTTCGTCCTCTTCGTATTTTACGTTTGTGTCGTCGTAAGCGGTTGTCGTTTGATATTGAGTGTAATCTGGATAATCTAAAAATAAAAATTAATATGTAATTATTAGTTGAAGTCTAAAATTGTGTTCTTATAGTAAAAATTAATGAATAAAAAAAATTGTATGAAGCGTATACTACCAAGTAAGCAATACTTAAAGACAAATGGCCCTGTTGCTTCCATATCGTGTTTAGATAAAATTAATTTAGCATCAAATGTTATCGCATTAAAATAAATGTTTTTTTTTTGTTTAAAGCGAGATTAACAAATAAATGCTTTTTTAAAGAAAATTAACATGATCGTTGTTAATTTTTCCATAAAGAAAGGTCTGGGAGTTGTGGAAGTTTGAAACTGTATTATTTTGTAGTTGGGAATTGAAAAATCTAACAGAGTGTAAACAGGAGTTTCAATCAAAATGAACTGACAATGCGTGCAATAAAAGAGGTGCTGGGCGTGGGCAGAGTTTGTGAAAAGTTTAGAAGAGATGCCTATTAATTACAATAGATGTAAATAACGCTTTTGGATATTAATGATTTATGAAGGTAATAAATATGCAGTGTAAGTGATCTATGGGCGGGCTAATAATGTGAATTATATCATACAAACGTCAATTTAATTCGATTTTTTAGGAGTTTCTAAAAGTTTGACATTAAAAGACCTTAAAAAAGTTCTTTTTTCGTATGATTTAAGCATAAATTACTTAATTTTAGTAAACAAAACGACGTTTTATAAAATTGACATATTGTTGTGAAGTTGATTACAGTCAGCCCCAGGGATCTTTGATAGGAGAACTTGGGACTGATTGTATGTCGAAATCCCCCCGTAAGATGGCATTAGCGTCTATACTGAAATAATTTAATTAAACTAACAATTTTATTATTAGTAGTAGGAATGATGAGGGACAGCAATAACAATTACCAGTATCATTCTTTTAATTTAAAAATTATAGATTCCAAATCGTGTTATATTTTTAAATTTGCCGCTAACTTCACCTTTTAAAAGTTGAAGTTTGTTCAGAATGACAGATGAAAACGTCATTTTAAAGTGATTTTTCGGTAAGAGTATAATAAAATAATTATGGTATGATTAAACAATTAGATTATAATTGACATTATAGCTTTGTTTCAGCTAACGTTCGTTATAACTGGTTGGAAGCTCGTCAGATGCAATCTCACATGTCATATGATGTAGTAATATTCAAATATGGTGGCATTATTTGACATGTGTAATTGCCAAAGGTAATTGCATCTGAGGAATTTCCAACCAGTCAGAACGTTAAGTGGAGCCACATAGTGGCTCCAAACACTTTCCAAACAGTTATTCTGTGGTTGGAGCTTTTATATATAAACCCAATCCAACCTGTATTCTAGTGGTTCGGTTCTTAGCTGAATAATTCCAAAACATCCCCAACAGATGGCGCCACATGCTTTCCATTTTTAGTACGAAGATTTTGTTTAGAGAGTTGCATTTCTACGAAGCTATTTTCTATGGTTACAGTTAGTAATATTGAATTTGTGTCACATTGACGTTTAAACTTTATTAAAAAATTTATTTAAAAAAAATTTATGGAATCAATTTCAATAGTCGTGGATAAAGTATAGTATTCCAATCGCATGGACATAAACTTAACCTTCGTGAATAATAGCCCTCCTCATTACATGCTCATATAATAATATACTAATATCGTTAGCAAGGCGCCTCTGGTCGAGTCGTAAAAAGTGGAAAGATTGGCACGCCAAGTCGTTGTCAATATAGATACTATGACATTTCACCAGTGTGAAGTTATCCATAAATTCCATCCATAAAAATTTTTAAATCTTCTGTTTGTGTATCGATTTTAATGATTAATAACTCATTAGAAACATCTCGTAGAGTAGAGCCTAACATAGTTTTAGCGGCGCAGATTAAATTCTACGAAAAACAGTAAAATATACACTTAGTCACAAAAGTCTTTGTACAAGTGAAAAACAACAAAATAACTGATTTATTTCGTTATCGAAATGTATAACATAAAACAGTTAATAACGTTTTATGGATAAAATAAAACATATTCCATTTAAATAAATAAAACAGTTAAAAAAATATCGTTTTTTATGTCATATGCCGATCGTTAATTTTCGGTTCACTTCGTTTAACTTTGGTGCGACAATTGCATCACATTTAGACCATTAACAAAAAAAGGTATATTTATGGATATGATTATGCTTTTCAAAGAACCGCCTGGCCACAGAATAACTCAGAAGTAGAACTCGTATCAATTTTTAGACCTTGGCCAGCGCCAGTCATGTTGTAAAGATGAAATTCAGAACCGGTTTAACGGAATTGTAACATGATTTTAACAGAGTCAGGACCGTATCGGTTATGACCGGACCATGCTATATACAGGTGTCCCGTATATTTTAGTAAAGAATTTAGAACTATTAAAGTTTAAAAAAAAACTATTAATTACTAAAAAATAAATTGATAGCTATTAAAAAAATTAATCAGTAATGAAAAAAAAAATAATAACTACTAAAGAAAAACAACTAATTATTAAAAAACTTTTCTAATTACCTATATGATTTAGGGATGACCAAAATTCACATTTGTGTAGAAGACAGCATACGCATTCTGATTTGGTAATCATACCTGATATTATGTTAATTAGTTTTCAATTTTTGGGACTTTAAACTTAGAGAATTTTTTTATATATTTTACTGTTTTTCGCGGAATTAAAGGTGTTCCCGCTCAAAATCTGCGCCGCCAAAACTATGTTAGGCTCTACTCTACAAGATCTTTCTAGTGAGCTATTAATCATTAAAATCGATACACAAACAAAAAAGTTTTTTTTATGGATAGAATTTATGGGTAACTTCACATGGGTTGAGATTTCCAGTTTAAAAAACGAAGCAATCTCTTGTGGACACGCCATGAATATATCATATTATATAAAATTAAATTTAATATTAAACATTAAGTACATATAATAGAGAGTTAATTAATGAAGTAGTGTCTGCAAAATCAGCAGCTGATCTCATGACGAATCCAAGCATATGAAAATTGCCAATCACCAAATCGACGTACTCACTCAATAATAGCTTACTATCAAACATCACGCCCAAATCTCTTATAGAACTAATCTTGTTCAATAACTTCTCTCTAATGATGGAGTCAAAGCGTATAGGACTAGGCTTTTTTGTAAAAGTAATTGTAAGCATTTATTATAACTTATGGCGATGAAGTTTATAAAACAATATTGAGCAAGTTCACATAGATCTCGCTGAAGAGCAGAACAGTCTCTAGGATTAGACACGCGGCAGAAGATAGACTTAATGTATACAGATTAGATCATCTGCATATATTAAACAGTTAGCGTCTTTAAAACACCTAAATATGTCATTAACACAAATATTGAAACTAACACCATCTGTGAGGAAAAATCTGTAACTCTAACCGAATATGCCCTATCAGCCACATAGGAAGTAAGTCACTGTTGAATGCTGTAGGGTAAATCAACATGTTCAATTTTTTTCTAGCAAGAGCAGATGATCAAAAACCTTACTAAAATTAGTGTATACAGAGTCCACCTGACACTCGTCATCAAAAGAATGCAAAATGTAATTAGTGTATTCGAGAAGATTGGTCTCTACCGAACGACCAGCAAAATATCCGCGTTGTCTCGGTGGTCCAAAACATTTTTTACTGTGTAAAAAATAGGCTTGTAAATTAAGCCCTCAAGGATCTTGCCGAAAATGGGCAATAAAGAAATTATTGCTTCCAGATTAGCGGGAAAACACACTCTTTCAGAGATCTATTAAACAGGATTCAAATCTGTACTTAGTAGGTTTGTATAGAAAATAATACCTTTATTGCGTAAGCCGCGTACCTTTTGATAGTCTAAGTTTATACAGGAAGAGAGCTATCGTAGTTGGCGCAAGTCTCACAAGGGAAGTATCAGAACTGTCCCTCACCGATTTTGATGAAATTTGGTACAGCGATAGTATGGCCAAAAATAAGGTTTACGTATTTTTTTATACGTGCTAATAAAGCCCCTGGGGCGAGTTATAAGGGTTGGAAATCGGGACGAAATATATATATTCGCTTATAGGTTGAAAACGAAAATAGCTATCGAAATGTGGTAAATGTAAACTGATATTCATTTTCAAAGAGCTTTCCATTGATATATCACACATATATCTGAGGGCTTCAGGGGGTAAACTACCCCTAGTTTTTTGGAATATTTTAAAAACTACCCTGTCGATTTTGGCGATATTATGTATCCTTATAGTACGTTTAAAAATATTAATGACGTGTTTTTTCTTATTTGCCTCTGACCATCCCCTGCAAAGTTACGGGGTATGATAGATAACCCCTTTCCTTAAGAATAATGTGATAAACTGTTACACTTTTGAACAATATTTTGAAGAAAACCATTAATTAGATGTAAATTAAGATTTACGCAGTAAAATAAACCCTATACGACATTAAGGGGTGGCTGGGGTTAACTACCCTAACTACCCCAAAAATATTTTTTTTGCGAAAATTGTTTGTCGATTTTGGTGCAATTTACCACGATGATTTTTTTGTACGTTAGGTAGTACCATTGTCAGAACTTACAAGGGTTAGAAGTTTGGGGTTGAAAATATATTTTCGCTAATAACTTTCATACTCCTACAAAAAAAGCTTTTTTATCCTTACTCTATTTAAATAACACAAAAGTTAGGGTAATTATATAAATATTTATTAATATTGAGTTAAAAAGTAACTGACGTGTACAAATATTAGCTACAGATTTTGTCAAAAAAGCAAAAGAACAAATCCAAATATACGGACCTGAGAATACCTATAACTCTGATCAGTGTGGTTTTAATTTGGAATTCCATTCAGGAAGAACCTTAACCGATTTAGGGATTAAAACCGTGGAAAGCGTGGTCCAGTCGGTGTCATCGACAACACATAGCTACACAATTCAACCCATCATATCTGCAAATGGAAAGCTACTTTCTCCTCTTTTCATTGTTTTAAAAGAATCCTCTGGTACGTTTGGACCGAGGGTAATAAATACAATGTTCAAAGCAGATAACATATTCGTTTTGGCATCAAAGTCTGGTAAACTGACGTCTGCTCATATGAAAAATTGGCTATAAAATGTCTATTTCCCAAACACCGGACCCAAATCATCACTATTACTGGATTCTTGGAGTGGCCACTGCCCTGAAATTATTAGTGAAGTAACTCCGTCGGATGTTAAGTTTAAATATTTGTCTATACCTGCAGGGACAACAGGTCAAATTCAACCCCTGGATGTATTTGGTTTTAGAATATGGAAAAATTTCATTACAAGATTTTCTGATCAAGTTATTCTCTACCAGTACGATGTCAATTTGCATCAGCGAGATAATATTTTAAAATTGCAATCCTTAACGCAAAAACCAGTTGTCTTTCCCACGATTTATTAATGTTTCTAAATACGCCTGATTTGCATCTAGATATATAGAGGAGAGACCAGAACAGTTTGAAAATCCCGTGGAGGTTTGCTTTTCCAATGAAAAACCTACGTGCGATATCTGTGGAGATATAGCTGTTATAACTTGTGCATGGTGTAAAGAATCGTTGTGTTTAAAACATTTTTTTCATAATTTTCATTATTGCCAACAAAAAAAGAAATTAAATTAATAATGTAGAATAGAATTTGTGATATAGTAGACGCCACGAGAGCTGGCAGTAAATCATCGTTTTCCACTCTTACAAATGCCATACGTAGTTCACAAACCGCTAGAGAGTAATATGTGTTAGAAAGAGATAGCATTAGTTTAATATGTCTGCTGTACAATTCAAATGGCCACGTCGAAAAAGTACGTCTGTTCTTCTAAGGGATGTAACTCTATAATTATAACCTCAAATCGAAACGTCTTGTGAGCGTTGTCATGAATCTGTTAGTGTTTTCACAAGCCGAAAATGTTTTCTTTGAAAGGAAAATCATTAAATAATATCTTTGACAATGTTTGACATATAACCTCCATTACTAACATAACCTACATTTAAATGTATGTGGTGAAATAATCTAAGTCGTACGTCCATATCTTNAATATTTTTAAACGTACTATAAGGACACATAATATCGCCAAAATCGACAGGGTAGTTTTTAAAATATTCCAAAAAACTAGGGGTTTACCCCCTGAAGCCCTCAGATATATGTGTGATATATCAATGGACAGCTCTTTGAAAATGAATATCAGTTTATATTTACCACATTTCGATAGCTATTTTCGTTTTCAGCCTATAAGCGAATATATATATTTCGTCCCGATTTCCAACCCTTATAACTCACCCCAGGGGCTTTATTAGCACGTATAAAAAAATACGTAAACCTTATTTTTGGCCATACACTATCGGTGTACCAAATTTCAACAAAATCGGTGAGGGACAGTTCTGATACTTCCCTTGTCAGTCGGAATTAATCTGGATAACATGCCTACTGCCGTTTTTTTCGGACAAAAATTTTACAATTGCGAACAATCCAGACATATTTATAACCTTTCTTTAGCCGTGGCCCTAGCAGCGCCGAACAGTTTTTTATTCGGTACAGTAAGGTCATTCATTGATGAAACATTGCCAATGGGAGGTACGCGATGTATGGCATCAATATCATGGCATCATGATAACAGTTTTCGTTGGCCGCCTCAAGTACGCACTGTATTTCCAGATTCCCAATAGAATTAAATAAGGTGATAAATTATTATCAAATATAGATGAAATATCAAAACAATTAAAAAATTCACAATATTTTTCAACTTTGGATGCTTCAAATGCCAAATAGCCGTATTAAATTGCCCCTTCGCTCGAACATAACCGTTTTTCAAGCAGAAGTACTTGGTATAAACTTCTGTACCGCTTTGAACCTACGAAAGGGACAGAAAAGTGCATCCATAAACATTTTCACAGATATTCAGGCCTATATGTATGACTGCACACTGATCAGAGAGTGTACTATCAACCTGAGAAAATTCGCTAGGGGTAATGATGTTACTCTATGGTGGGTTCCAGATCACAGCAACATTGAGGGCAATGAGTGGCAGAGAATACGCCCTTCATTGAACCCCAACCCAGATGTGAACTACAAAAAAACCACTTAAAGCAAATAATCAACAGTTGGGAGGCCTCAAAGGTAGCCTTACGCTGGAAACAACTTCCAGGTCACAGACAAGCGAAGAGTATGATAACTCCGTCGCAAAACAAAACCAAACAGGTTTTGTGCCTCAGCAAACCTGACCGACCATGCACTCCTAAAATACCACCTCTTCCACATTGGACAAGCTGAGGATCAAACTTGTCGACTTTGCAACAACGAGTCAGAAACGGCTGAACATAATACTAAAATTTTCGGTAAAGCTCTTTTGACACCTACCGACATAAAGGAACAAGACGTAAAGTTACAATAGATCTTATAACTCGCGATGACGAGAGGGGCCGCTCCCCTCAGCCCAACAGCAATAATAAATAATAATACGCAATAGGCCAAAAGGAACATGAGGATATTGCGTCTAACTGTAATACAGTATACTAAATAACAATATACATATCTAAATAAAAATAAAATTTACCATCAAGGGGTTCTTCTTTAATACGAATTTCACCCCCATCATCCGTTTTAATGTACTCCAATCGTTCACCACCTCTTTCCCTTTCACGTCGTTCCCTACGTTCTCGTTTCCTCTCTCGTTCTCTTTCGCGATCCCTCGATTTAGATCGCCTCCTTTTCCTCTCCCTATCACGATCCCTCTCTCTATATAACAAAAAAGGAATTTTTTTTGTTTATTTGGAATTTATTTAAATTGTTTTTTTTAACCTTTCGCGTTCTTTTTCCCTCGGTGGCCTTTCAACCTCCTCAACTTCCGAATCACGCACACGCTCGCGACTTCTACGTCTGTTTTCTCTACGCGGAGACCTCGATCGAGAAGATCGTTTCCTTCTTTCGCGAGATCGCGATCGTCGTCGTTCGTAATTCGCGAGGCGATCGTTTCGGTCGCGTTCACGATCTCTTCCGGTACCACCTCCGCCTCCTCCTCCTCCACCACCACCACCACCCAAAGCTCCACCTCCGCGTTCTTCTCGTTCCCGTTCTAATCGGTAACGTTCGCGTTCTCTTTCGTTGTCTTCGCGACCCGAATGTTTTATGTTAACGTCGGGACCTCCTCTTCTTGTACCACCAAGACCACCACCTAAAAAAAAAATGATTGGGGGTGTAATATTTTTTGAAGGAATTATTTTGATGTGATTTAAAACTTACCAAGTCTTCGAGGTAACCATCCTTTGACAGTCCTAGCTCGTTCAACATCGACCAAAACGCGACGACCATCAATTTTCTTACCGTCTGCATGTTTGTATGCAGCTGTAAATAACATTGCACATTTCTCAGTTTACATCCTCAACGATAAGAAAAAAAATTTTTGGATGTGTCAGCTTCGCGAAAAATTAAATTAATGAAATTAAGCTGGCAGAAACGATCGATTAAAGCCGACACAATAATAAATTGAATGATATTCCGTGACAAATAAGATGTTTTAAACAACGATATAGGATTTTTTTCGATTGAGAGAAAATTAGCTTTAACAAGTAAGAAATTGTCCATTGCTGCTGCGTCACCTGAACATCGGAACAAATCTCATAAAAACAGATTAAAAAAGAAATAAAATAGGTATAATTGAAATATACCTACCCGGGTTTTACTTACGTTAAAATAACACATCGTAATTGAAAAAGTGGAAAACTAATAGTCTTTATTAAACTCGAAGGAGAACACTTCCGTAGGTCCTTTTTATGCAATTTTTTTGTTTACCTGGTGCGCAAGTACTTACGATCGCGCAAACCCTTTGTTTTTTTAATTAAATTATAATTTCGAATTAATAATTTTTCGTTAAAGAATTTTAAGTGAAACGGAATTTAGAAAAAGATTTTCGCTACATTTTCGACAATAAAAAAATACTCAATTGAAAAACCCCAACAAACAACAAAAGATATTTGTATGCAGGGTTCTTACCACACATACAAACCTATATAGCCAGCAAAAAGCGGTAGTATGGGGATAACGGCACTAAGTTGCCTGCAGCTCGGACTGTACAAAAAAAATAGAAAATGCTGTATTAATTTCATCGCTTAATGAAAGGTTTCGTATTATAATTTTTTAATTTACGGAAGTTGCTGGCTACATAAACTAAAAAAACACCCCTGAATATCCATCACATTAAAACAAATTACTCTTTTAGTTCCATCCCCATCTTATTTAGTTTTTATTCTAAGAATATTTTAACCTTCAATTACTTACCTCCCACCCACAACGAAAAAAAAAGGTTAAAATATTTTATTATTGATGCTTTTTAATGTCGATGGAGGGTTATCGCACAAAAAAATACGAACGTGGGGGTTCTGATTCAATTTGGTACTCACAGTGCATGTCCCTCTCGTGTTCGTACTCAATAAAAGCATATCCCCTCGGTTTACCATTAATCGTATTATGAATTAACACAATCTAAAACGATTTAAATAATTATACAAAACAATTATGTTAAAATAAATCTTTTTACTTTTTTTATCGGTCCGTATACTTCAAATTCTCTCCTCAATTTAGATTCCGATGTGTCATAATTCTGAAATAAAACGAAACCAACTTAAACACTACTTTATTTGGTATAATTCAAGAGTCATCATGTCGCTTGAAAATCGACAATTTTTTTTTAATCGACGAGAAATCATTCAAGTAAGTCGTTACAAATAAAGAAAAAGTGCAAAACTTACTGAAAAATCACTTTAAAGTTTCGATGTGACGTCATCGACAGTGCTAATTATACAGGGTGGTTCAGTTTTTAATGGGGAAACTTTACTAGGACGTAGTGCTTACCAAAATAATACAAATTTTTTATACAGGGTGAGTTTTTTTCTTGAAAACTAGCGGAGATAAATAGACTATTAAATAGAGAAAGAATTGCAGTTTCATGAACTCAATTTAATGAGCTTTTTGTTTTTTGGATAAAATGCATGGCTAACTAGATATCTCGAAAAAACCGTTTTTTTTTGTTATATCGTTAGATATAGTAGACGCCACGAGAGCTGGCAGTAAATCATCGTTTTCCGCTCTTACAAATGCCATACATAGTAAATTAAAATTCACAAACCGCTATAGAGTAATGTGTGTTAGAAAGAGATAGCATTAGTTTAATATGTCTGCTGTACAATTCAAATAGCCACGTCGAAAAAGTACGTCTGTTTTTCTAAGGGATGTAACTCTATAATTATAACCTCAAATCGAAACGTCTTGTAAGTGTTGTCATGAATCTGTTAGTGTTTTCACAAGCCGAAAATGAAATAAATTATGAAACACTGTTTAAATAAAACTTACTTAATCCCTTGCGACCTGTAAATAACCTTTTAAAATATCTGTTAAATAAATTAATAATGACATAAATTTTATTATAAATTAATATTAACGATTTTTCGCTGCTTAACCTCTCCTAAATTTGACAATGTTTGACATATAACCTTCACTACTAATCTAACATACATTTAAATGTATGTAGTGAAATAATCTAAGTCGCACGTCCATATCTTGATTCATACCATTTTTAAACGTCAAGTCACTGCCAGCTCTCGTGGTTTCTACTATAGCTATGGCTCCGCTATTATTAATTTTAGGAAAAATATGTAAAGGAAGAATTTGTAGATACATGTTTAATAAAGCAGTCTAACTGATTTTTTATTTAAGCAATAATTTTTGAGTAATAATTTTTCTAATGGAAACCATAGTAGGCATAATGACTTTATACAAAAGGCCTTTTCTCAACGATTCTAATGATATACCACTTGACACAGATATTTTTATTAATAAATAAATTATTGCCATTTATTCTTTTAATTGTAAAACTGTTCATGTAGTATGCTATGGAAACAATTGATAGAGACGTTTGGTTATGACAGCTTAAGGCAAACTATGTTTCGTTTAGTTTCTAATTAAGGTTGATTGAGGTTTTGCAAATTATAATCAATATGAATTTTTCTAATCAATAAAAGCGTGATATCATTAAGTGTTACATTTTATGCTATAAAAATGCAATACAAGCTGCAGAACAGTGTTTTGATCGTAGCCAGCCTTCTCTACCTACTTTGAAGAGGCTGATAATTTGCGTGAGTGTGGTTCTTTCTGTAAATCAATTAAAGATGCAAGACAGAAGTAAATGTATTAGCATGAATCCATCAAGATGTATCGATTTCAACACAAGCTGCATCTGAAGCAGGTACGTCACAACGTACAGTCGTAAGAGAACTAAAAAAGCATAGATTTCATTCATATAAAATGGCAGTTTCACAAGTACTATCTCCAGATGACTACAATAAGCGTGTAGAATATTGTATGTGGTTTATTAATATATGTGGAGCTGATCATAGTTTAGATTAAAGTTTTGTGAACAGATGAAACACGATTTACAAACAACATTTATGGATGCAAGATAATCCGCACCATGTGCAAGAAAGGAGACCTCAAGTTAAGTTTCGATTTAATGTTTGGTGCGGTGTCATTTGTTCAAGAATTCTTGGTCCATACATTTTTTATGATACGTTAAACGGAGATCGTTATCTTCACTTTCTACAGAACGAGTTCGATAATATGTTGGATAAATTGCTCCTGCAGGCACGTCATTTGCTTAAATGGTTTCAACACGTTGGGGCACCACCACTTAATAAGTTAGCGATACGAAATCAAGGAAACTTACGTTTGCAAATGTATCTATCAATTGTTTCCATGGCATACTACCTGAACAGTTTGCAAATTAAAAGAATAAATGGCTATAATTTATTTATTAATAAAAATATCCATGTCAAGTGGTATATCATTAGAATCGTTGAGAAAAGGCCTTTTTTATGACCAACTATGGTTTCCATTAGAAAAATTACAAGTTTGTATCATAACTCAAAAATTATTGCTTAAATAAAAAAAATCAGTTAGACTGCTTTATTAAACATGTAATACCCTACCCTATAAATATTTCCTTTACACATTTTTCCTAAAATCAATAATAGCGGAGCCATACGATATAACAAAAAAACGGTTTTTTCGAGATATCTAGTTAGCCATGCATTTCATCCAAAAAACAAAAAGCCCATTAAATTGAGTTCATGAAACTGTAATTCTTTCCCTATTTAATCGTCTCTCTATCTCCGCTAGTTTTCGAGATACTAAACATGGAAAAAACTCTCCCTGTATAAACGTAGGGTCGCAACTCGTTTGTTTTAGAACTATGAGCTGTCAAAGTTGAGCCAAAAATTTACATTTTGTTTTGTATTTCGGCTGTAAGTAAACCGTAGAATTTGAAACTTTGTACGTATTTACTACTGGTTAAGACCTTATTTAAAGCATACCTTAAACTTCCCTAGCGCACTCTAAGGGGATAAAATTCACCACCCCCTTGATTCTTTGTATAAGAACTTTTTAACGCTATGGAATATTAACATAAAAAAATATGGGTTTTAAAGCTCATTCTTTAGTGGTACTTTTTTGTCTCTTTAGTATTTTCCTTTGAGTTAATAGTTTCTGTGTAAAAAAATAAAATATCGTGCCATCTTTAGCTAAAATTAACCTAGAAGTTGGATCTGAGAACTTGTAAGTTTCATTTACGGTGAATCCTCATAATTGTTGATGATTATTAATAATTTTTGACTGTTATTAAGCAAGAGTATCAATTTTTGAATATTGTTTAAAACAACGTAGTACTACATCCTAGTAAGTGCACAACTTCCATAGCCAGCTATAAAGAATTTTTTTTAATAATTGCTTTACAGTGCAATGTAGAATATTTTATTTTTTTACGCTAAAAGTATTATCTTTAAGGAAAAACTAAAGAGACAAAAAAGTACCAAAAGTAATAAAGAAGCTTTACAACCCATATTTTTTTATGTTAATATTCCAAGGCGTTAAAAAGTTGTTATAAAAAAAAATCAAAAGGGTTATCAATTTCATGCCCATAGAGGGAAGTTTCACATATCATATATACATACATGACGAAACGTTTTGTTGTTTAACGTTAGATTGTAGCTAACGTTAAACAACAAAACGTCAACTTTAATTTTATTATTATATTCGTAATCTTTATAAAATAACCGATAAAATGAGTCCAAACATGACGCACTTATCTCAAAGAACAAAAAAGTTAGAATAAAAAGCATTAAACCCGAAGTTAGCAACAATGAAGATAGCAATTTAATTTTTAAATATTAATACCAACCTTAATTTTTGATTTTTTTTATCATATTTTCATTTTTGTGACAAATTTTAAGACATTTTATAAAAATTAAGAATATATCAAAATAACGTTGACATTTCAAACCGAAAGTTGCTTATACATCGAGTAATTTTGGAATTAAACGTATCATGTTTGGGCTGATTTTAAGCGATTTCTTCACGACGATTACAAATATGTCAAAATTGACGTTGACATTTCTAACCGGAAGTTGACCATAATATTAATATTGAAGATAAATATGTCGCGTTTGTATTCATTTTAAAGGATTTTTTTAGTGAAGATTACAAATATGTTAAAATTGAGGTTGATATTTTAAACCTGCATATTTTGATTGCACTAAAACTAGAACTAACACTAAACCCAGAATTAGGAACATTCGATACTTTCTAGTTCTAGGTCTAGTGTTAGTTCTAGTTTTACACTAAGAGACGGTTTATCAATGTCGAGTTAAATCTGTTAGGTACTCAACTGATGAATAAACTTGCCTAACAGTTAACCTCAGTGAAGCGTTTATCCAACAACTTTCTACCTGACAGGCAGCAAACTACAAGATAGAAAATAGATGGTACCCCTGAGCATTAACTTTAGAAACGGAAATGAAAAGTGATTTGTCAGATTTGAATAATTGACATTAGTTTGTGATGTTGATATAAACAGCTAATCGTGTCTTGGAGGTTATCATTCTCGACTGCTTTCGGTATTGTGCGTTGTTTTAATTGTGTCATGACATTTTTCATAAAAAGTTGCCTTAAGAATGTTTTTTTCAGATTCATGAAAAAACGAAAAATAAAAGAGTTATAGGCAAAAAATGATTTTTTCGCCATATATAGATACGCAATTTTGCCCCCATTTAACCATTTCTGTATCTCTTATGGTTTCTGAAATCCCAATGGTGGGGGTCGAATTTGAATTACCCTGTATAAATTTACAATAAAAAATGAATTATTGTTAAACTAATTAACTACCAATTGAAATTAGGATTAAGATATTATGAGGCATATTTGACAAAATTGTATTGGTTAATTTTAGAATTATGTTATGGGTTTTGAACAACATGTTTTGTCTTTTATATTCCCCTATAGCTTTTTCACTAATTGAGGAAATTTTTAATACCAGTTCTGATGGCATTGTTAAAACACAGTATGTTTTTTTTGCACCTGCAACATTAATGCATCATTGACTCCTATTATTCTTAAACTTAAGTTTGCATGATAATTGGGTTTTAATTTTTTTTTACAATATATTCGGCTATATACGCCACTATATCAAATTGTCTTGCAGTCAGATTATTACAAAATCCTCCTGGTGGTCTCATTGCACAAAAAAAAATGTCTAAGTGGCCTTGTAAAATTCTATATGTTAAAATATTTTTTAATGTGCATTCATTTTGTATATATTTGCTATACATTAATCTTTAACTTTGAATACATATTAAAAAGCCTAACAATCTCAAATTACATAGCCTAAACTACACAAAATTTGCTCATTTTCAAGTTTTTCATCAATTTTCATTTCTTAAAATAATAATAATAATCTTAATGCACCTCAAAGCAAGTATCTACATCACATATCCTTTCTTTAGTTTTATGAGGGTGCAATAACAACTTCCAATTACTGTTTATAATGAATTTTAAAACCTAAAATAATACTTAACATTCAAGAGTGCTCACAACTGCTTTTATATACATAATTTCTTTGGGTTTAATAGAAAAATGTATGGTTAACATTGCTTGTGACATCACATCAAAATTTTAATGTGATTTTTCGATATGTTCTACACTTTTATTTTATTTTTAACATGTTTTTTGTGCCATTTCACATTGATTAAAAAAAAATCGACGATTTTTAATCCATATGACGATTCTTGAATTTTTCCCTTTGTTTTATTAATAAAACAAAAATGTTTACTCGCTTTGCAATCTTTAAAGCAATTAAATACGGTAAAGATGAATATCGACAAGTAATAATCGTTCAATTTTCCTGGGTTTACATACACGCAATCTTTAGCATTAATAAGAAAGCATGTGAACAAACCAGGTGGTTAAATCTTAATCAATAATTTAAATTCTTACAATTCTAGCGACAAATAACGTCTTAAAAGGATCAACGGTCATATTCGGTTGGGAATTAGGATCCCAAACCGCAATTTCTTGCTCCAATTTGTAAGCGACTTGCTCGGCTCGTTCCCTCCTTCTACGTTCCAACCTTTCCTCTCTGGTTTCAACTCGAGTCGGTGGTGGAGTATCTTTAGGATCCTAATCAATAAAATAATATTAATTAATTAATGTTGGACGAGTAAATTAAATTACTTACCTCGAATTCCGATAAGAACGCCCCAATTCCGACATATCCCCTGTTCTTTTTTTCGTGAGGTAATTTACTGGCTGGTGGCAAATAAGGAATTGGATCCCTCGGGGCGAAAAGAGCCAGCAAATTCGGCGGGAGGAATTGCGTCATGGCTTTTTAAGACATTAAACGGGAGAAACCGTGAAAAACTTGCGCTGGGAAACGTTATGTAAGTCGGAGAAGGAAATCGGGAACGTGTTTGTAAGCAATATGGCGACTTTTGTGGCGAACGAAGCACGTCACTTTCTTGGCGTGGATTATTAAGTGGCTAACTTTACGGTGGAGTGGTACCAACCCAAATATTTATTGAATCAATACAAAATATAATTATTAAAAAATTTAATTATTATAATGTAATATTATAATATATTTGTTATATAAGTTATGATATAATTAGTTATTTGTAAAAAATTGTTTAGTTTGATTGTAAAGATACTGTCAATGATTTTTAAGTTTATGTTATTAAGAGTTAAATTACAAAAAAAATAACAATTTAACTAATATAGCCTGATCCAGAATAATAGGATATATATATATATAATATATATCCTGCCTAGGCAGAAATACACAATTTATCAATTATTCTAGCATTTAGCCTTCAACTGGCGTGATGTTTGAAGACACAACCACTCCAGACAAGTCAGAGTTTATCTCCAGAATCTTGTAAGTACTGTTAATTTTTAAGAATGTCCTTTGGATTCTGAGGGGGCAAATAACTTACAAAGCTAATACACAATATATACAGAAATGCGACCATGTGACCATGAAAGCATCAATTCTGTCCAAGTGAGCACTACTACTAACACCACTTTGTTATCTATGGTTATGTACACCTTCTTGTTCATAAATGTGACCTCACCTCCTTTTTCTGTTATGGCACTTGCCGACAACAAGTTTTTACTCAGCTCTGGTACAAATAATGTTCTTTCCAAAATACAAATTTCTCCTTCTATAGACCCCAAACCCTCTAATTTAATCACTTGGCCTCTCTTTGCGATATCAACCTTTGTTGTGTTCTTTTCCAAGTTTTGCAACAAACTGCCATCATTCACCATGCGGCTAGACGTTCCAGAATCCACAATAAACATCTTTTATAACAGATATTTACGCTGTAAAGATGTCCGTGAGTCTTAAATAGAATTCCCATTTGAAAGTACCACAGTTGGAATGATTCCGAGTCAACTAGCTTCTCAATTTTTGAAGTTTCTTCGTAACTAACATTCGATGTCATTCCAACTTACCGGTATCCGGCCCGGTTTTACAGGCCTGTTGCCGGATAGTTACCAAATACCTGGCTTTGGCTGGATATTAAAAATCATTCACAGAAATTAGTATCTCTTTTAGGTGTTGGGTAGTGCAGATAATAATCAAGTTCAACCCCAATAGGACTTCTTGCATTGAATACAACTTTATTTATATCAGGTTTGTCATTAGTAACCTCATTGTAACAATCCCAATACGATATATAAAATCTTTTGTTGCAGTTTCGTCTAGTTTTCTTGACTTCGCTTGTAATTCATCATCACATTCATTACTAACAGAACTATCGCTGGTATCACTTTCAGTTTTTGAGATATAAATTTTTTAAATGTCGAGAATTTTTTCGAATTTTGCAATTTTCGCCGATTAAGTTTTAAAAATTCGTATAAAATCCATTTCTTGGAATATGAGTTTGAAACTTTCTCAAAGTGTTAATAAGAGTGTCCTCTTTCCAATGAACCAACCCATTTTGAAAAATAACCTTTAGTTTTTGAGAAAACAATATTTGAAGTTTTGATAAAATTTTCGATGTTGCAATTTTCATCGATAATTTTCAAAATTCGCTATAAAATTAATTTCTTGAAGGATCCTTGTGGAAATATCACCAATTATTAATTAAAGTATCCTCTTTTTAATGCAAAAAGCCGTTTTGAAAAATCACTTTTAGTTCTTGAGAAATAAATTTTTGAAATGATCGACAATTTTTTCGAATTTTGCAATTTTCGCCGATTAAGTTTTAAAAATTCGTATAAAATCCATTTCTTGGAATATGAGTATGAAAATTTCCCAAAGTGTTAATAAAAGTGTCCTCTTTCCAATGAACCAACCCGTTTTGAAAAATAACTTTTAGTTTTTGAGAAAACAATATTTGAAGTTTTGATAAAATTTTCGATGTTGCAATTTTCATCGATAATTTTCAAAATTCGCTATAAAATTAATTTCTTGAAGGATCCTTGTGGAAATATCACCAATTATTAATTAAAGTATCCTCTTTTTAATGCAAAAAGCCGTTTTGAAAAATCACTTTTAGTTCTTGAGAAATAAATTTTTGAAATGATCGACAATTTTTTCGAATTTTGCAATTTTCGCCGATTAAGTTTTAAAAATTCGTATAAAATCCATTTCTTGGAATATGAGTATGAAAATTTCCCAAAGTGTTAATAAAAGTGTCCTCTTTCCAATGAACCAACCCGTTTTGAAAAATAACTTTTAGTTTTTGAGAAAATAATATTTGAAGTTTTGATAAAATTTTCGATGTTGCAATTTTCATCGATAATTTTCAAAATTCGCTATAAAATTCATTTCTTGAAGGATCGTTGTGGAAATATCACCAATTATTAATTATAATATCCTCTTTTTAATGCAAAAAGCCGTTTTGAAAAATCACTTTCAGTTCTTGAGAAATAAATTTTTGAAGTAATCAAAAAATTTTTTTAATTTTGCGATTTTCGCCGATTAAGTTTTAAAAATTCGTATAAAATCCATTTCTTGGAATATGAGTTTGAAAATTTCCCAAAGTGTTAATAAGAGTGTCCTCTTTCCAATGAACCAACACGATTTGAAAAATTACTTTTAGTTTTTGAGAAAACAATATTTGAAGTTTTGATAAAATCTTCGATGTTGCAATTTTCATCGATACCTTTCAAAATTCGTTATAAAATTCATTTCTTGAAGGATTCTTGTGGCAATATCGCCAATTATTAATTAAAGTATCCTCTTTTTAGGGTTGCTTCGTTAGTTAAATCACTATCATAAAAGTTAATTTTGTATCTTATGTTAGATCCAAATAAGTTGACATATCTTATCAGCTTTCTTATTAATTTCAGTTTTATTCAAATATCGCAATAATGTGGCAATATAGGGTATCACTTCAAAAATGCACCAGAAATTATAACCATAATGTCCGGATAGATTTGCCGGATAACCGGATATCCGGCTTTTCGCAAAATCACCGCTTCATCACTACTAATAACTAACAATAGAGGTACTGATGTGATTACGTAAATTGCAGAACTCAAATGGAATGTGGCCCTTGGAAGGATAGATGATGCACAAAGAGACCGCTCAAGAATTAATAAGACAAGTAGAGGAACGCAATCCACACGCTGGACTGATGATATCAAAAGAATAACAAATTGGATACAAAGCGTGCAGGATCGAGAAAAATGTACAAAAATGAGGTCTACATTAAGGGCTGGACGATAATGATGGCGATGACCAAGTTGTATGTCTTGACTGCGTTAGATCTCCATACCTAGATAGAGGTCCTCCACCATCAGTTTGTACTTGACTGGTTCTATGACAAATGTCAGTGAAGGATAAATTTATAAAAATTTGAATTTGTATTTGATATTTAAAGAATTATGGGAACGAAATGATTGCGAGATTGCTAGTAATTTTAGCCGAATGGAAAATAAGTAGTTAACAGGTACCCTCCTGTTGAGAAAAGAGCCAGAACCAATATGTGATCGACGTTTCTCCCGTTCAGCCGTGTAACCGTGTGTGTGGGAAACACAGGGATTTATGCGAGCAATTATTCTGAATTACACCTTCGTTCGATGCACCGAAGCAAGAGGCACAATGTTGACCGTGCGGCTCGGTTTACACGTCACGTAAGTATTATCGTTATTACTTGTTTACTGTTTATACGCGGGGTGCACGCAAACCTGCCCCTGCGCAAGTTGTAAAACGAAATTTACCGTCGCTTCAAACGAAAAACGACGAAATAGGTTCTCCGCCGCGTTGGAAAGGAGGTAGTCGTACTAGGAGGCTCAATACGGTTCACAAATCAATGGGTCCGCGAAGACGCTATCAATCTCACGATCAAATCCGTATAATCAAAGACCGGTAAACGCCAGATATAAAACCGGCGAGGACTTCTTATTATCACCATTTGCGAAACGATTTACGATCTCATTACTACACCGACCAGACGACAACGACGGTCAAGGAATTGGACGACTCGGCACGCCGAAGACCTACTGCCGTCGTAAATAGAACCCATCGTCTTATGTCTTCGATATAAAAGCTACCGGTGACTATATAAATATCAATTAGATTCTCTGTTTAAAGGTATGATTACGTTCACGCTAACCAACGACCATAACCAAAAAGAATTATTACCTTTTGTTTTTATTGTTGTTACCATCTTTAACCAAATTTTAATTTAAATCTACCAATTAAGTGTAATTTATTAAAATAACTTAAGATTTTTTAACAGTTTAATATAAACAATGTGCCGCCATCTATTGATTTCTATTACAATTTGAATTCATCTATGAAATTTGACACAAAGAATTTAATTGTTGCATTTATTAATTTTTGTTCTATATTAATTTAAATGAGCTAATTACAATGAGGTTTTTAAATAAATTTTTGTGTATTTAGAAAGAAATTTAATTAAATTACTTCTTGTTGTAATTAATAGCTAAATTCACTTTGGTTTCGGTTTGTTTTGATTCAATGGTTGTCATTTTTAAAAGCGTTAGTCTCAAGTTTTAATCGTAAATATTTCGCTAAAAACTACTTTAAGGTATTTAAATTTGTTCCAGAAACGTTAAATTAAATAATTCGATAGTTCGTGACCGGAATATGAAAAAATGGGTTAATTCAAAATTTAGTGTTTGAAGAACATAACCTCAAAATCAGCTAAAAGTGGAAAGATTCATATCTGTTTTTCAACAATTATGTACAATTAAGCTTTAGATGCGAAAATAGGCCTTCTTGCTTGAGAAGAAAAATCGTGGTAAGTAGCAAAAAGGTACATTTAAAACAAATATACAGTGAATTCCACCAAAGGTGCAATATTTACTTTGTCCCACATAAAATGCAACAATGTCAATATAATTTGATATTACAGTAAAACCTCGATATAATGGATCAATACGGGGGTCCGTTTTAGTTCAATAAAGATATACAACAATCTAGCGTTGAATAACAAATAAAACTAGACTAACAGTAGCACTAGAATTAATACTAGACCTAGACGACTATTTGTAAACACTTTCTATATT